ACTCTTTCAAAATCAAGCCGCGTTCTCTCTTCACTCGCACGGTTTCAACCATTCAATCTAACAGTTACAGATATACACGAGGGTACAAAAGCTTTGAAAAGCAATGAAGCTTTTAAAAAGCGTTCTCGGCAACGAAGGGACTGCGAGGGGAAGAACACTCGAATTGCGGATATTGGAAACCATGCTGTCATGCTGGCAACGAGAGATAAGCGATAAGCAGAACGACTCAAAGAGTCCTCGTGCGAGCGTGCATTTACTAGACGAGGCCTATCACTGCATCAAAAAGGCACTAAAGAAATAGAGGATCGCCGTGCAGTAGGTATGGCTCACGAGATCGGTAATTTTGCTGGTTTGTACGATTAAACCGGACCTTGATTGGGAATGAGAATCCAGGCTATTCCAGATGACCATCACTTTCGGCCGTACTACCTTACCAATCTAACGGCGAATCTGGTATCCATACAGAGTTCAAAAAGAAGAATTTGATCGTCTTGGCGAAGCAATCAAAAGCTCCTCGGAAGGTATCTAAAACATAAACACGCACATTAGCGAGCTATAGTAGAGCCTCAATAATCTTGGCGTCAAGGAAATCTTCCGAGGCTTAACAAGAAACATTAAGAAGGCAAACTTCACAGGAGCAGAAGACAACCTTGCGTATCACAAATTTTCTTACCTCGTCCGAATGTCCGCCGGTTTTATAGCCAGGAAAATGGCCTTTCAAAGCGGTGACCCGAAGTTTCAGATGAGATTCTCTAAGAAATTATGGCTTTGGTTCTTCCAGTCATTAATCCGCGCACAAACCTCTGCAGCGAATCTCCAAGACAAATTATCCGGAATTTCAAGGCTCTCATTACTAGCAGCGGCATCTGTGATTGCGGCAGGCTTTTATCCAAAGCCAAAGCTTGGAAACTTCTTCAAACTCTTGAAGCTGGTCGTTGCGTAGCCGCTGGCCTAAGTATGAGCTCACGCGCAGCACACAGTTCTGTCCACGGATCTAAAACTCTGCTGATCTAAAATAAACTCTAGAAACTAACATTCCGAGGCTTAGTAGTTACTTTCAATGTGGAGAGGATCCGCAGTGACGCAAGCTATCTTGTTGTACACCTCTTCAAAGCTCTTAAATTCGCCAGATCCATGAACGCGCCCAAAGCGGATGTGGCAAACGACGGCGGCGTGAAGGAGCGCGCTAGAGTTTACGTTGTCTTGGACGTAAATCTTGAAGTTCCTGCCACCGAAGTCGTTACATGGAACTCACCGAATTCGTACAGCGACGGGTCTACTGGCAGGTGTCCAATGCATTCTGCTGGCGGGGTTTGCAGTCCAAGCTCGACTTGCATCACTGAATCTGTCTGCGCCGCCCATAAGCTCTAGTTTATTGACGCAACGCGTAGTATCTCAAGCAGAATGCAGTGTTTGATACCGGACGACGAAAAATAGTTGTTAAAACGGAAGGCGTGGGGATATACGACTATGAATGATAGTGCCGACATGACCGGGGAGCGATGAATAGATAGCCGGAAAAGGAGAGAGCTGTTAACTTTTCATCAGCCAGCCTTGTAGCCATCCCGTTTGCGTAGCTCGAAGCTTCTTCCCATCCTGGTCGCAAAGCCACGAAACGACCAGCGCGCACATCCCATCCCATGATCTCAAATTTGCGGCAGAAGTTATCTAGTGATGCGCCGCAGCGAAAGCCTCGTCCGCATGTTTTGGGGACGGCACAGTTGGCTCTTGCTTGTGGTTTGGAACGGCGCTTGCTGACACAGCCCCGCTTCCCATGCACGAGATCTCTTGCAGGCTTTCGCTCACCGGTCAAGCCCATCAGATTAATGCATGTGCCCGGCCAATCAACAACGTTCGTTCTAATTACATCACTGGAAGTTGCCACCTTGTGTTACAATAAGCAATATAAGCGGGAATAGGGCACAGCTTCAAATGGGCTTTTGTAGAAGAAATGGGCTTTATCCAAGAAGCCCGTAAGCTCAGATTCCTCGTTCTATTTGTTAGCGGGCGTGTCAGGCGCTCTTCAAGCGAACAGATGACGCAAGCCTTACTGAGACGCTGAGACACCGGGAGCCTAAAACAGTCATTACTATGTAGAGCATATCGGCTGATTTGACGAACGTGGTTCTTCCGTTTACAGGGTGGGATCCATAAATATAGGCCAAGAATAAGAAAACTTTGTCGTGAATTACATTTCGCATCAGCATATTCACGCATAAGAACCCCGATCGCGCAGTCAACACAACGCTAATACTGCCTCACCATCTCCTTAAATATCAACTATGAAGTTTTCTCTCCTCATTCTCTTCTGCGGCCTGCTGGTAGCATCGGTACTAGCTGTTCCTCTTGGCACTGTCGTCACACCAGCAAAACCAGTCCCAAAGCAAGGAAACCCGAAGAGTGCCCCTCCACGATTACAGAATCCCCCTAAAAGTGGATCATCCTCTCCAAAATCTGGCACTGCAGAGGCTCGTGAGTTTTTCTTTCTAGGCTTAGGTGCTCGATCACGGCTAACCCCTGCCTCTAGTTAAAAATATCAAGGACATAATCGACGCCGCTGAGAAGTTTCTCAACGATAACAAAAACAAACAGTCTACAAACGCTTGCAATGGACTCGCAAGTCGTGTCAAGATCTGTGTTGCTGGAAAGAAATCTCTAGATAATTCCGGGAAAGAGAAGGCCGCTAAGTGCATTTGCACGGAAAGCAAGAAAAAGAAATGCGATGAAGCCTCGAAGAAGTGGGTTACTAGCTGTAACAAAATACGTGCGTAGCAGTTGCGCGTAGTGGATATCTGCATGGATGAAGTTGGGCGGTGCAATCTCATGTTCCAACTGCATCAGTTCAAGACTGAACCAGGGTGGCGGAACAAAATGATATTTTGTCAGCCAGGATCACTCCGATAACTCTCGTTTTTTCAGCCTCATTACAGTCAGTTGTTACACTATAGCCTTACCCCTGCACTACTCATTTATCTACTGCAAGGAAGCAATGATCTCAAAGAGAAAACGTGTTCTTTTAGATAGCAGCATATATACCTCTATAGGTAGCAGTAATCTAGATGGACAAGCGGCGTCCAATTCCTCGCGCCCAGCTTCACATTAAGTAATTGTAATTAGAGGTCATTATAGATTTTTACTCACCGAGTATAAAGCTGGATAATGCGAAGTTGATCAAGGAGGCTATTAGCGATTAGAACTGAGAACTTAAGTATCAATTAGGGTGGCGCACAGCGGATGGAATCGTTGAGAATCAAGAAGGTTGCGTGATAATATATACAAAGGGATCCCTGTTTACTTATTATA